GAGACGGGAGCAGGGAGGTGGGGGTGAGGGGATTGGAGAGGCAGAAGAGGCGTTGGGCTGTGTTGCTGACTTTACAGACACCTCCCTCTCCCCCTCCTCCCCCTCCAAAGCCGGCGAGCAGCAGCATGGAGGAGCGGCTGAGGTCGACGAAGCACTGCTCGCCGTACGAGCCCAGCCCGTCAAACACCTCGTCACACGCCTCCCTCTCCCCCGCCACCAGAATCATCTAGTGTACGGGGTTGGGGGAGGGGGAGGAGAGAGGGTGGTAGGGGGAAGGGGGGCGAGATGGGGAAAAGGGGGCCCAGCCCGTCAAACACCTCGTCACACGCCTCCCTCTCCCCCGCCACCAGAATCATCTGGTGTGTGTGTTGTTTAAGAGGGGGATGCGGGTGGGAAGGGGGAAGGTGGAATGGAGAAGGGCGAATGATGAATGGGGAAGGGTTTGGGAGAAGGGGGAAGGTGAGGGAGAGGGACTGAGAGAGGGAGAAGGGGCGCTGGACATCTAATTCGATAAAGATGTCATGAGCGACTCTTGAGAGTTCACTCCACCGCCTCATCCGCTCCTCCAGCTGGGCCCCGCTGGAGGAGCGGGCATGCTGTGGATTTCCGCGTCTCGCTGCCCCCTCCCTCTTTCTCCCGCTCTCTGTCTCTCTGTTAACCCAATATGCCTGTGCTCACTCAACTGACTCATCCGCTCCTCTCCTCCTCTGCCCCATCTATACCACCCTCACTCACCCCAATGTGCATGTGTTCACTCCACCGTCTCATCCGCTCCTCCCGCTGTGGCCACGGCGTGCTGTGGATCTCCGCCTCTCGTCATCCCCTCCCTTCCCTCCTCACCTCTCTTCTCACTCAATAAGCCTGTGCACACTCAACTCCCTCATCCGCTCTACTCCTATCCTCATCTCCTCGTTTTACCCCACCACCACTCACCCCAATGTGCATGTGCTCACTCCACCGTCTCATCTGCTCCTCCAGCTGTGGCCACGGGGTGCTGTGAATATCCATCTCTCATCGCCTCTCACTCTCACTCCCTCTCAACCCAATGTGCCTATGCTCACTCAACCGCTTCTCACTTCATTAGCTCCTCTCCTACTGTCCTCCTCGCCCCTCACCACTCACCCCGATGTGCATGTGCTCACTCCACCGTCTCATCCGCTCCTCCAGCTGTGGCCACGGCGTGCTGTGGATCTCCGCCTTGGTCATCGACTGCACGCCCAGCCGCTGGAAATTCCTCCTTAGTGCTGCCTCCCGCTTCTCCCTGATTGGTCAAGGACACGGGAACCCAGGGGGAAAGCATGGGGGGTGCATGGGGTGGGGTGCTGTGGATCTCCGCCTTGGTCATCGTCTGCTCGCCCAGCCGCTGAAAGTTCCGCCTTAGTGCTGCTTCCCGCTTCTCCCTGTTAGTTCCCAGGGAAAAGGCAAGAGGGAAAGAACAGAGGCCACGGGGTGCTGTGAATCTCCGCCTTGGTCATTGTCTGCACGCCCAGTTCCTCCTTAGTGCGGCCTCCCTCTTCTCCCTGTTTCCAGAATAGACAGACAAAGGTACCAGGAGGAACACAGAGGGGGCCACGGGGTGCTGTGAATCTCCGCCTTGGTCATCGTCTGCACGCCCAGCCGCTGGAATTTCCTCCTCAGTGCTGCCTCCCGCTTCTCCCTGTTGGGTTGAGGATACAGGGAGGGATCCCAGGGGGAAAGCGATGCATAGGGGTGCATGGGGTGGGGTGCTGTGGATCTCTGCCTTGTTCATCATCTGCACTGCTGCTTTCAATATCCCACCCGCATTTCAACCTTTTCCCCCTCATCCCTCTCCCCTACACACACACAGAGCCTACTTGCAAGCGCGGGTGCAGTCGGTCGCACATCTGTTCTCCACCAGCCGCTGAGCCATGCCGTGCACATCCTTCGTTTCCCTCCCCTCCCCTGCCTACACCCACCTGCTACCTCCGCCACCCCACCCTTTCCACCGTTCCCACCATCCCCAACCACCCCCCGTCCAATCCCCCCCCAGCACACACACCCAGGGGCCTACTTGTAAGCGTGAGTGCAGTCAGTCGCACCGCACATCCGATCCTTCTCCTTCTCCCATGTGCATCTCCTGCTTATCCCACCCTCTTGTCCACCATTCCCCACCTTCCATCCCCTCCCCACACACACCCAGAGCCTACTTGTAAGCGCGAGTGCAGTCGGTCGCACAATTGTTCTCCACCAGCCGCCGAGCCATGGCATGCAGCTTCGGCAGCGCAGCCTCGGCAATCATCTCAGGGGGCGTGATCTGGTCCGGCGACTCCTCTGACAGCATCGCCTCCCGAAGCTCGTCCAGGTCCGGAAAGAGGCTGTGGGAGGGGAAAGTGGGGGGAGAAGGGGAGATGGGGAAAGGGGGAGAGGGGGAGGGGAGTAGGGGGGGTGGCACGAATGGTTGTGGCGGGAGAGTGCGGGGGGAAGAAGGGGGGGGAGGAGAGAGTGGGGGGGAAGGAAGAGGGGGAGTGGGGGGTTTGACGGAGTGGCTGGGCTTTGAAACCAGATAGTTGGTGGTCGAGACCAATCGGCGATCGACCACAGGTACATACAGTGCTGCAGAAACCATTGGGGACACTCTCTCTGCCAGTGAAGGGAGCGTGTGTGGAGGCTGAGGTGCGGCCCCGAGAGGCGTGGAAGGAAGGGAGAGCGTGTGGAGGGTAGGGTGGGGAGGTTGGGGAAGCAGTGGTGGCGGGAGAAAACGAGGGCCCATGTGAGACACCACCATTGACAGTATCGTCCGCTGAAGCTCGACTCCACCACCAACCACCTCCCTCATCTGCTATCCGCCTCCCGTTACACACACCCCCCCCCCTCCCCCCCCACACCCCTTCGCCCACCTCCTGTTTGCACACCCCCCCCCCCCCCCCCCTCCCTTTCCCTTCCCCCACCTGCTGTCCTCCATCATTCACCCCGCACCACCCACTAACCCAACCCCAATCAGATACCGCGCGTGTCAGGAAGGCCCCCATACCAACCACCCCCACCGCTGACCACCGTTCCCCACCTCTCATCCGCACCCTCCAGCCCTCTGCACACCTGCTATCCGCGAGCAGCCCGTGGAAGTCCGTCTTCACATTCTCCATGGCCCGCGCGATCAGGTACCGCCCGTTGCGCAGCTCCTCCTCAATGAACCGCACTGCACCGTTCAGCCGATCCACGGCGTCCAAATACGTGTAGTACGCGTCGCTGTTGCGATCTGGGCCGTCCATTATGACATCCCTGACCTGGAGCGACAGTGTGGGGCGGGGCGTATCAGTGAAGGAGGGAAAGATGACGGCCGGGAAACCGGGAAAGGCAGAACTGACGGAAAGAGGTAGTAAACTACCAGCTAAAACATGAGTGGAACGGAACCAAAAAACGGCATGAACGTTACTGTAGACCTGGGTGCGTTCCGAGTGTACTGGAACGGCGTTGATGCAATTGACTTGACAATTATACCACCGACACTCAAATGGGGGCATCATGTATGGTTCTTGACTGCTGTTTCAGCCTGAGACCATCTGACTGAACGGATCTCAACATAATACCTGGTTGGGGATCTCCATACGCGATAAAGGAACGGGATGCTCTCCCTTCCATGAGACATTGCAACATCTTCGCATGGTCAGCAACCTCGTGGCTGAATGAAATCCGTTTCTTATTTTTTCAAATGCGAATCTTGTTATAATCACCTGGTTGGGGACCTCGATATGTGTTAGAAGAGCGGCAGGGTCCGATAGCCGAATGCCGGGACTCGGAAGTCCCTGCTCTGTCGCCATGTCGAACAACGCGGCGTGATAAAGCGCGTATGAGGGATTGGTTTGCGAGCTTGAAACGCGTACTGAGTCAAAGTAGCTCTATCCTCGTTAAAAGGTCCATTGACGGTTGCCGAGAGTAAATGTTACCCTAACGACTAAAGGAGTCGACGGTTACTACAATGCAACGACTGCAGGCCCAGGAGCTCTCGAGATGGTTACACGCCGTAGGGAAACGAAAATATATAATGGGCTGAGTGAGTGACAAGAAGACGCATGCAGTATGTGCTTTACACTCGGACTATTGAGACCGCTAGGCGAAACGGTCTGGAAACGCACGCGAAGAAATGAACGTTATTATAAAGCGCGTACAGTGATCAGCAGCGACTAGCAAGAAAAAGGGCTACAAGTCGAGGCATCAGGGACTCAGCGCTCTGAAAGCGATATCTGTACTCTCAGGACCACATACGCTGGTGACGGCATTGCGAAACACTGGAAACGCTGGAAGTTAACTAGTTCCTGGACGATTTAATACTATCAGAAGGCCGTAAAGAACGACGCGAGTGAAGGCTCCCGACGAATGCTTGTCAATCTTCTGGTGAACACAATACAGGTGGGAGAACTAAGCAGAAGACTAGAGAAAGGCTGGTGGGCTAGTAGCGCTGCCAACGGAATACTCGAGAAAATGCCTTGGGATTACCTTCGGACTCGTGAAAGCAGTTCTTCGGAAGAGTGGTACTGCGGGGAAAGGAAAACCACATTGAGTGCTGATGCCTACACTCCAGTACCTTGTTCCGTTAAATAATTGCACATGTATCTGCTTATTCACAGGTCTCTAGGGGCTGGTTGTTTTCTCTGTTTTCCTGTTGGGCGATTTTTTTTGCCATTTTCTTGTTGGGGCCTATAATATGGTAATGTAAAATCCTGATACTATGCCCCGAGTTTTTTTTTTTAATATGTTATAATCTTCAATGGAGAAACGCACAGCGTCGTTGTGTACCCGTAATCCCCCGTATATAGGACCCCCCCCAGTTGTAGACCCCCGGGTCTATAATACGGCACCGGGTACTCTATTCGTGTACATCTGAGTTATAGCCCCATAAATGGCCCCTAACATTATAAGACCCCCCCCCCACATCCTAGAGAAGTGCGGATTTTACAAAGATGCAATTCAAAATGGTCAAATTCAGTGTTGATTAACAAAAATCGCACCCATGAACACACATGCACAGCCACATTACCACCCTAATCCTGTCCCGCAACCCAAATCTCCACCTCCTCCCCATCATATCGCCCTTCTGCCCACCACTCATCGTCATCGTCCTCCCATCCCGCTCCACCCTCCACCTCCGCACCGCCTTCCTCCTCACCCTCCTCATCCTCCTCATCGTCCTCCTCCTCTGTGTCCCCCTCCTCCTCCTCCTCGTCCTCCTCCTCCTCGTCCTCCTCGTCCTCGTCCTCCTCCTCCTCCTCCTCCTCCTCCTCCTCCTCCTCCTCCTCCTCCTCCTCCTCCTCCTCCTCCTCCTCCTCCTCCTCCTCCTCCCCCTCCTCCTCCTCCTCCTCCTCCTCCTCCTCCTCCTCCTCGTCCTCCTCCTCGTCCTCCTCCTCCTCCTCCTCCTCGTCCTCCTCCTCCTCCTCCTCGTCCTCCTCCTCCTCCTCCTCCTCCTCCTCGTCCTCCTCCTCCTCCTCCTCCTCCTCCTCCTCCTCCTCCTCCTCCTCCTCCTCCTCCTCCTCCTCCTCCTCGTCCTCGTCCTCGTCCTCGTCCTCGTCCTCGTCCTCGTCCTCGTCCTCGTCCTCGTCCTCGTCCTCGTCCTCATCCTCCTCCTCCTCCTCCTCCTCCTCCTCCTCCTCCTCCTCCTCCTCCTCCTCTTCCTCCTCCTCCTCCTCAGTTGGAGAGGAGGCTTCACCGCTGTTCTTGCTCGCAGGGGCGGCAGGATCAGGGTAGAAAGGGTAGGGGACGAGCTCGTCGAGCTCCTCCTCGCACAAGTCCTCCATCACCTCCACCTCCGCCTTATCGCGGAGGTGAGCGAGGATCATTTGATCCTCGCTCCCGTTGACGGCGGTGGAGATGCCGCAGGTCACGAAGGACCTCTTGATCAGTTCTTCTGGCACTTCAGCCCAATCCAGCAGAGGACCTTCTCTGGAGGAGGTTTCTTCAAATCCTCTGCAGAAAATGTCACGGGTATGGGCAAACGTGAGTTACCACACGGTGAGGCACGCATTGAAACAGGGAATTTGAAACACGGCTCTCATGCTCACCTGCAGGGGTGAATGAATCAATCTCCTCATCCTGGAACCACACGGAGTAGCGGTGGCGAACCCCGGCTTTGAAGCTGCAATTCACCGAAACGTCCAGGGGTTGCATCAGTGAGGTGCAACCGCCAGGGATCACCGCGCGCGTGAGCTTGAACAGCTTCATCGTCTGGCCCACTGCTTCCGTGGTGTGCCCTCGAAGGAGTCGAGGATAAGGATCGCATCCTTGCGCTGCCCTTCCTCTTCGTGGTGCGGCTTCAGGAAGGGGACGAGAACCTTCGTCGTCCACTCCTGGACAAGGGACTGGTCCATCCAGCCCTTTTCCTGGGCGCGAACGACAATGCCTGCACAAAGAAAAAGAAACGTGAGCGGTTGTTTTCCTTGACCACATCCCGGCATAACGTGCAGTAACTCGCAACTCACCGCGGGGGATGGGGATCTTCGGCAAGGTCTTTCGCTTGAAGACTACGAACGGAGGGACCTTCAAGCCGCCCGCGGTCACCGCCAGCATGACCGTGACTCGCTGCTTCTCGTACCCCGCGGTGCGCACGTGCACGGTCCGAGTGCCTTTCATCTCGAGGGTGCGCTCGGCAGGCATCTCAAGGAACAGGGGTGTCTGATCCGCGTTCACGATCAGATTGAGGGGGTAGGAGTTGAGCACGTGCATCTGCCTCACGAATTCCCAGAAGGCCTCGCACTTCTCCTTGCAATCTGCATCGCACGGGATAAGGGGGAGACATGCCATGTGGATAGGTACCAGTTTACATCTGGAAACATCGGGTAAGGCGAGGTCAAGGTACCTGCAGCGAGCTTCTACCCGATCGTTGTCTTCACGCGCCAGGGACCACCGCCTGCGGAACCTTTTTGTCCAACGGCTGGACGACGACCACTTCTTCTGGGGGTGGCGATGCTTCATGAAGGTCGCCGCCCAACTCTGGAGAAGACCGATGGAAATCGGAGGTCCTCTCCCACGGTGCAACAGGAACCTGTGGTATACCGCAACCTCCATATCGGGGTACTTGGGCTTTCGTCCCGCACCAGTGAGACGTTGGCGACACCCTGCCACTTTGTCGAGCCTCTCCTTCATGCTGCGCCAGTCGCGGATCTGCTTCGACTGGACTTTGGCGAGCCTGGCAAAACCCCGGACGCTCATAGGGGGCTGCACGACGAGCATCTTGAGCTAGTAAAGCTTCTCCTTGACGGTGTAAGCTTTCCGCTTCTTCTCCATTTGTCGGCGCCTGGTCTCCGGCGTCTCTGCGTCGCACACCCGCTTCTTCTGTCCCCGCGGTCGGCTTGATACAGGGAACACGGGAACCTTCACCTGCGGAAGCGGACCGTTTGGGCTCCCGCTGGGCTTCTTAATCGTCGCCTCGCTGCTAGAGGCACTTGGCGTAGGCATGACGGGCCTGGGCGACCGCCTAGGAACAGGAGGGTTCGGCACCTTCTTGCGGCGCTTGCGTCGAGCACCGGCCGTCCCAGTATCTGGTGAGGGCACCATGGCAGCTAAGATGGAGCTAAAGTGGCTGCTAGCTTCGAGGCGAAATGGAACAGGCAGCCATCTTCTACGAGGCAGCCAGCCGAGCACAGTGCGGGTAATGAAACAGGAGGGGGAAGTGAAGTCAGTCAGATGAACAAGGACGCGCCTGAATACAGTGGGGGTGTCTGGAAGATCCCGCCCTTTCCAGGACTGTGCAGCCCGCACGAAGCGTGCATGGGGTGTGGGCCGAGGCCATCAAACGGTGCCCTGCGCTGTTGTGTGGACACCAAGTGGTGTTGGTGGCCAATGGGAGGAGGCTCCCAGATAGGGTTCGTGATGACGTGGGTTCGGCCCGTGTGAAGACCAATTCGAGTATAACGGAGCACTTCCAAATCACTACTTTGAAGTCCAAAACTACATTCTTATAAATGTCAATATGAACAGACCCGGTGTCAAACATTATATATGTTGGGTTTGTTAGGCTACAGTGGGTTAGCCTATATGGGGTACACAATTCTAGGGTTTGCTATTTGTACTGATCTCTCTGTTAGTTCAATCATTCCAGTCCGGGGCGGCGGCAGGGGTGGAGGTGGCCGGGGCGGCGGCGGTGGGGGTGGTGGTCGTGGAGGCACTGGCGGAGGACAGAGTCAGCAGCCCGCCCCGACGCTTCAGGCCGCCCGTGAGTGGTATGCGCAGCGTAGCGTTACCTGCACGTACGTCATTCGCACAGGTGACCGCAGCGGCCAGCAGTGTGGGAGGCCGCACCCCACGCAGCGCTGCTTCGCGCGCCTTAACGACGCGTGGCGCACTCAGTTTCCTGCTGCCACTGAGCTGCCACGCTGGGCTGATCTGGAAAAGAGGGGTGTTGATATTTGGGCTTTAGACTTTGATGCTATTCTCACTGCCATGTATGCGATGTCTATTAGTGGAGAGGGTGCTCAGTACTTGCGTGTTCCGCCCGACCCGGGCATTCAGGCCAGTCCGGCCGCCGCTCTAGGTGCTAGTGCGTCTGCTCCCACAGGTCCTGGTGAGGCCGCTGCTCTAGGTGCTCGTGCGTCCGTGCCCCCTGGTACTGAGTCGACTGCAGCACTGCACACCTTCACACTGGACTCAGGTGCTTCTCGCTCCTTCTTTCGTGACCGCACTGTCCTTGAGCCACTCGCTCGGCCAGTTGCTGTCTCCCTTGCTGACCCCTCTGGGGGTCCGGTCATTGCGACCTCCTCCACTGTCCTTCCTTGTCCGGCGGTCCCGTCCGGCACGCTGTCAGGTCTCTACCTCCCCTCGTTCTCTACGAACTTGGTGGCAGGTAGTGCGCTCCAGGACGGGGGTGTTCACCAGTTCACCCCTGCCTACGAACGCGTGACACACTGCACGTGTGCTCGGACGGGTCGCCACCTGGCTACCTTCACTCGGGAGCCGGGGTCGGACCTTTACACACTGACCACTGTGTCCCCTCAGGTAGCTGCGTCTGCGTCTGCGTCTGCGTCTGCGTCAGGTCAGCTGTCCGCCCCCTGCTCGTGTCGCTCTCTGACGCATGAGACTGTCCTTTGGCACCACCGCCTTGGTCACCCGTCTGTGCAGCGCCTTCGGGCCATGCACAAGCGGGACCTTGTTGCTGGTCTTCCCAGGGTGCTCCCTCCCCTTCCCGACTCACCTGCTCCTCCCTGTATTCCCTGTGTCGAGGGACGGCAGCGCGCCGCTCCTCACTCCTCCTCCTTTCCCCCGACGACTGCTCCCTTGCAGACGCTCCACATGGACGTGTGGGGCCCAGCCCGCGTCCGTGGTCAGGGTCAGGAGAGGTACTTCCTGATTGTTGTTGACGACTTCTCGCGCTACACCACGGTCTTCCCCTTGCGCGCCAAGGGTGACGTCCCTGATGTCTTGATCCCTTGGATCCGCAGATCTCGTCTCCAGCTCCGTGAGCGTTTCCGCTCCGACTTCCCTGTCCTGCGTCTGCACTCTGACAGAGGTGGGGAGTTCTCCTCTGGCCTATTGGAGGCCTTCTGTCAGCAGGAGGGCATTGAGCAGTCGTACACGCTTCCGGACTCTCCACAGCAGAATGGGGTTGCTGAGCGCCGCATTGGTCTAGTCATGGAGGTCGCTCGTACCTCCTTGAGCCATGCGGCTGCCCCCCATTTTCTGTGGCCGTTTGCAGTCCGATACGCTGCGCATCAGCTCAACCTCTGGCCCCGTGTCTCCTTGCCCGAGACTTCTCCGACACTGCGTTGGACGGGAGAGGCTGGCGATGCGTCGCGTTTTCGGGTCTGGGGATCCCGAGCTTTTGTCCGCGACACGTCCGCGGACAAGCTCTCCCGTCGCGCTGTCCCCTGCGTCTTCCTTGGCTTTGTCCCGGACGCCCCTGGTTGGCAGTTCTACCACCCCACCTCGCGGCGTGTCCTGGCCTCTCAGGACGTCACTTTTGACGAGTCCGTCCCCTACTACCGCCTCTTCCCCTACCGCACTGCCCCGCTCCCCCCCCCGCCTCTCTTCCTCGCTCCAGGTGCTGAGGTACCAGACCCCCTCCCCCCTCAGGGTGCCGCTCCCTCAGGTGTGTCCCAGGTAGACCCGGGTGAGCCTGTCGAGGTAGCTGTTGACTCTCGTCCTGCTCGGGGTGCTGAGCCTGGGGGTGCTGCGTCTGGGGGTGCTGAGCCTGGGGGTGCTGCGTCTGGGGGTGCTGAGTCTGGGAGTGCTGAGTCTGGGGGTGCGGAGCCTGGGGGTGCTGAGCCAGGAGGTGCGGAGCCTGGAGGTGCGGAGCCTGGAGGTGCTGAGCCTGGAGGTGCTGGGTCTGGGGGTGCTGCGTCTGGGGGTGCTGAGCCTGAGTGTGCTACACCTGGAGGAGCCCTCTCCTCCCAGCAGCTGCAGGAGAGGTACCTCGAGTACTGCCGCCTCCGGAGAGGTGCTGCTGGAGCTCGTCCCGGTACTTCCCCTCCTACCCAGGAGCTCCCCCCCATTCAGCAGATCCGCGAGTGGTACACACGGCGCTGCAGTCTTCGGAGTGGTGCTCCTGGTGCTGCGGACCCTGGGGGTGGCGCTGCTGCTGGTGCTGAGGACCCGGACGTTGGAGCTGCTGCTGGTGCTGCGGACCCGCCTGGTGGAGCTACTGCTGGTGCTAGGGACTCGGACGTTGGAGCTGCTGCTGGAGCTGAGGACCCGGGCGGTGGCGCTGCTGCTGGTACTGAGGACTCGGACGGTGGAGCTGCTGCTGGACCTGAGGACCCGAGCGGTGGCGCTGCTGCTGCTGCTGAGGACCCGGGCGTTGGAGCTACTCCTGGTGCTGAGGACCCGGCCGGTGGAGCTGCTGCTGGTG